CCTGGTCCTGCTCTTGGGGCTCTGCTGGCGGTGGAGGAAAAGAATCCGTGAGGTGGACAGCAGCGACGAAGACAGCTCCAGTAGCAACACAGACCAGGAGGAGGAAGAGGACCAGGAGGAGGAAGAGGAGCAGGAGGAGGAAGAAAGCGAAGGAGAAGATCCTGATGATGAGAGGAATCTAGGCAGGTTTTTTGCAAAGCGTATCCAGTGGCCAGTGCAGAACCTGGCCTACAAGAGCCAGGTGGTGAAGGAGCTGGTTGGCAACCTCCTCCATGTCCTCCAAGTGCTCTCGTCAAATGGCTTCTTCCCGGTGCTGCAACCAGCCATCGGGGTGGGCAGTTCCTTCGAAGGCTGGAATCCCTGTGAGGATGATGCTGTCTATAGCCTGCTCGTGCCCTTGCAGCCCCCCCGTGGGCACACCTTCCACCTGGAGCTGGGCACGGCAGGGGAGATGCCAGCGAACGACTCCTGCGTCCGCGTGGAGCTGGAGTGCACCTGCATGAGGGAGCAGCTGGCAGAGAACATGCTGTGCTTCCTCCACCACCCTGAGGAGGACCTGAGGAGAAATCAGGACCCCAGCCTCCTACGCACCCTCTGCACCAGCTCCTACCTAGATGTGGAGAAAACTGCCCTCTGGTTCCAGAACTGCGTGAGGTCAACCTGGGTGGAGGTGCCTCAGTCACGTCGCTACAGTATGAAGGTGCTACCCTCCAGTCGCTCCTGCAAGCTGCAGCTGACGAACGCCTTCAGGAGAACCTTGTCCGTTGAGATGATGTTTGGGGTGCAGCAAGGCGACTCGGACATCTTCCTGAGCAGCCAGACTACAGAGGCCATCTCCACCCCAAGCACAACGTGGCCAGAGAGCTACGCTGTGGCAGAGGTGAAGTTCTTCAGGCATATGGCCAGGCACGCCCCACCTAATAGCTTCCACCTCAAATGCCTGCAGCTCTGTGCCCGCATCCTGGTGGGCACAGGCTTTTCCACCTATACCTTGAAGACAGTTGTGATGCACCTCCTGACCACGCTACCCCTGTCAGGCTGGCGCAGGAGGCATTTCCTGCTGCGGCTGCAGGATATCATGCGATACATGCGCTGCTGCCTGGAGGAGAAACGCCTCGACCACTTCTTCTTTGGCAACGAGAGGGTGCCTGAGGAGATCGTCTTGCCCCCAGCCTTCCAAGCAGCTGAGCCACTCAACCTCTTCCAGCACCTAGTCCAGGATCCGGCCACTCAAGCTGAGGCACTGCATGAGTTCATGTTCCTGCGAGATCGGCTCACAACACTGCTGATCTACGGCCGCTGAAAGAGGTCTTCATGCACAGAGCTGTGTTTCTGGGTCTCACAGCTGATGACAGACGACCATGTCACACTGCAGGGAACACAAGGGCAGAATGCGTGACACAGAGAGGAAAGGGCAAACCCTGCGCAGCAGCCCTCTGCCAAGAGCGGCAGCAGCGTTCTCCTCTCGATGCTCTCCCCAGCAGCCGCTGACAGCTGCAGTGGCAACAAAGATTAGTTTCACCTTACTTTTGCTCACATTGGGTGGCCAGGATCGGGATTTTGCCTGGGCCCAGAAATTCTGGCTGGCAGCTCCGGCTGGGCAGGGGCCAAGCGAGAGGCACTGCTGATGTGCCTCTGTGTGTTCACTGGAGTCCGGGTGGAGAACCTACCCAGCCTAGACACCCCCCGGGGAGCTGGTGCCACAGAACTGAGCACACAGGATACAGAGAAGACACTGGTCAATCAGCAGTGGGAATCGCTGCCGCACCTTTCCTCCACAGCAAAAGCACAGTCTGGGCAGTCAGACCTGATGCAGCTGAAGAGGCCGTTGCAAGGAGGCTTGTGACAAAGGCAAGCTCCCACAGGCTCCGGCTGACAAACGCTTCCGATAGGACCCTCTTGATTGAGATGGTCTTTGGTCTGCAGCAAGATGACTCGGCCCCCTTCCTGAGCCTCGAGTAGGCAGAGGCCAGTGTTACCAGCAGCAGGACGCGGCCAGAGAGCTGTGCTGTGGCAGAGGTGCGGTTCTTCAGGCACAGGGCCAGTATTGGGGCCAGTTCTGTTTAATCTCTTTCTCAATGATCTGGACGAGGGGATCGAG